TTGTCGTTGTTGTTGTTGTTGTTGTTGTTGTTGCTGCTGCTGCTGCTGCTGCTGTTGTTGTTGTTGTTGAACATTATTTATTCTAAAGAATAATTATTGTTGGGCCCCCTGGTGCGCGCCCCCCCTGCGCCGCCTAGACCGCAGCTACATTTTCATCATTTTCGTGAGGAAGCCTCAGAAAAGAGGGTGTGTACAGGATCCGGCTGTTTTGTTGTAATCCGCTTTCCCTTGCAAAAAACAATAGAAAATGCCATTTCTTGTTCTAATATAGTCAAATTTCAAGAATCCCTTGCAAAAAATAAGGTAAAGTGGACATTCGCGCGCGCAAGACGAAATCCTTCCAAAACCTTAGTGTTCGCAGCGATTTTAACATACAAACATCAAAAAACCAATGGTTTTTCAACAAAAAACTGTCAAAATCTCATCCCGCGCGCTCTTGCGGATTCGTAGGAAACCCAACACTTTTTATACATTTCTGTCAAACGGGCTTTTGCGAGCAACTTTTTCGAACTTCTGCGACAACGGTTGCGCACCTGCCAGGGCCATCATCCCTGTCAAATAATACCATGCGGGACACTTTCGTTTTTTTCTTCGCGCGCGCACGCCGAAATCTCCAAAAACCATTGGGCTTCTTAAGAATTTTAGCACCGCGCATCATAAAATCACACGAATCGCACCGTAGGTCCTCGAAAAACACCTGCACGACAAGGCTTAACAACTTCTGTGGGTTGAACAAGGCTTAACACCTTCGGGGGGGTGGTCGAACGTAGGCTTAACAACTTCTGTGGGTGTGTACTCCACGCCAGTGTAGTAGCCACGGTCGTCCGCAGGCCACGAAGTGAAGTGTCCGAACGTCATAGGGCGGGAAGCTGGGTGTGGGTGGTGGCGAAGAGTCGTGTGGATATTTGGTAGAGCTTGCACTGCCCCCCCACAAAGTGGGGGTATTGGCTGGCGTCGCATGAAAACCCTGGCACTGGTGAGAACACTGAGCGTTCGGGTAAAGTGATTGTTGTTGTTGTTGTTGTTGTTGTTGTTGTCGCCTCTTCGATTCTGGCCTCGTCGTGGCCTCCGCCGCCGCCGCGCCGCTCGGTGCCAGGGCGAGGCGGCGGCCAGCGAGAACCTGGAGCTCGCCGTGGGCGTGTGCGCGCGGACCGCTAGCTGCGGCGGCGGCTGGCGGCGGTCGGCGACGACGGCGGGCGGCGGCGGCGGCGGCGGCGGCGGCCACGACTCGGACGAGGGCGCTCCTCCTCCGCCTCCTCCGCCTCCTCCGCCTCCGCCTCCTCCTCCTCCTCGTCCCCCGCCTCCTCCTATTCCTATTCCTCTTACTCCTCCTCCTTCCCCTCCTCCAACTCCTCCTCCTCCTCCCCCTCGTCCTCCTCCTCGTCCTCCTCCTCCTCCTCCGCCTCCGCCTCCGCCTCCGCCTCCTCCGCCTCCTCCTCCAGCGTGGCGTGTGCCGACTGTTTCCAGGACGCACGAGCGGGCCACCCGCGGACAACCCTCCGAGAGCAGTCTTTCCTGGCCGCGCCGACAGCTCCCTCCCCAGAGGGCTGCGGAGATACGCGGTTCGCTTTCTCGTTCCCCAGAATCAGTCATGGCCCGGTGCAAGCCAGCCGCGAAAGTTGGCGGACCTCTGGCTCGCAAGCAAATTGTGGTTGAAGCTCCGAACGGCATCGGCGCCAAGCATGCGTCGGCAACATACGATGAGATGCCTTCCAAGCATGGATCGGAACTCCAGAGCTTGGTCTTCTCCAAGTCCGACGCTATGCCCGGAAGAGAACTACGCAAACTCTTCGCCAGGCACAAGACCGGCTGGACGAAGGAGCACCATGTCCGTACCTCAGTGGCGAAAGGTACAGCGGCAAGTTATGACAGGGAAAGACACTACCACGGAGTTCGCCCCGACTGTTTTTCAAAATAGCGTTGTCGTTTGAGGTATCCTCGAAACCCATGGCCACAAAGGGTACATTTCCGCAACAGTTACACGGATGGATGGGGCGGTCCTTCTTCGAAAGAGAGATTTCGTTGGACACTTCGTTGAATTCTCTAATAACTGTGCGTTGTTGCGTTCTTGAATACGCGCCGGAGAGATGCAATGAAGTTCCTTTTCAAGTGGCTCCAGCGCCAAAATGGCAGGGGGGCGCTCCTTGCAGTGAGAAGTGGGGATTTGCAAGGGCGCGTGAGGAGGGACTTGGGACGGGAGGGCGCATTGCAGCATCGACTATGTATCTTTGGCTCGCTCCCTCCTCCTCATCCCTCCCTCCCTGCCTCTGCTCCCCCCTCCTCCTCCTCCTCCTCCTCCTCCTCCTCCACAATTGCACAATATGAAAATACTCTCCCACTTCCCCTGATGGCGTCCCGAAGATATCCGACACCCCCCCGCGTATTGTTTTTTACACGGGATTCCTGGGAAACGGGTTTTCGCTTGTTTTTTTCAAAATGCTGCTCTCGCTGAGGCGCCGGCTTCATTTCTGCTCCCGAATCGTTCCGAATCGTGCTCCCGCTGCAGCGTGGGCCTCATTTTCGGATCGGTGTTTGGCCTCCGTCGTTCAGGATGGCGTTCTCGCCCCAGCGCGGGCCTTTTTCTCGCGCGCCCATCCGCCCGCCACCACCGCGCCGCACCGCCACCACCACCACCACCACCACCACCACCACCACCACCACCACCACCACCACCACCACCACCACCACCACGACAACCACGCACACACGCACGCACGCACGCACGTGCACCACCACCCACTACGCACGCGCGCGCGGAGCCACAGGTCCGCTACGACACGCGTCCGCGGATAGAGAAAATCAGCGCCATGGTAAGGGATGGGAGGGAGGGGTAGGACGTCAGATATGAGAGGGTAGGACGTCAGATATGACGCGAGCGCACCTAGCTTGTCCTCCTCCTCCTCCTCCTCCCCCTCCTCCTCCGGCGGCCGCGTGTCTGCCGCGCGCCGGAAGCACTGTGATCGAGAGCCGGCGCAACCCCCACCCCCAGGACAAGCACGCCGCTCAGCGGCAAACGAGCCCCAGAGCCGAGGGGGCAGCGCCAGTTGGGGCCTCCCCCGCCCCCTCCCCCTCCCCCTCCTCCTCCACCTCCTCCTCCTCCTCCTCCTCCTCCTCCTCCTCCTCCTCCTTCCTCCCTCCTACTCCTACTCCCTCTCTCCTCCTCCTCCTCCTCCTCCTCCTCCTCCTCCTCCTTTTCTCCTCTCCATGCGTATGTGGGCGGGTCCGCCGAGGGCTCGCCTCCTCGGCGCCCCGGGCCCGCCTCCTCGGGCGCCTCCCCGTGGGCGCCTCGGCCCGTGCCCCGTGCCTCGTGGGTGGGTCCTCCGGGGTTTCGCCTCGTGGGGCGCCACGTGGCCAGCCCCAGCTGGATCCAGCGAGGGGTGGAGGGGGGGCCAGCCCCGAAAGCATCGCGTCGTGAAAAGAAGCTACTCCTGCATCCTCGGATCCTCCTCCTCCTCCTCCTCCTCCTCCTCCTCCTCCTCCTTCTCCTCCTCCTCCCTCCTCCCTCCTCTCCTCCTCCTCCTCCTCCTCCTCCTCCTCCTCCTCCTCCCCCTCTTCCCCTTCCTCTCTCCTCTCCTCCTCCTCCTCCTCCTCCTCCTCCTCCTCCTCCTCCTCCTCCTCCTCCCTCCTCCTCCTCCCTCCTCCTCCTCCTCCTCCTCCTCCTCCTCCTCCTCCTCCTCCTCCTCCTCCTCCTCCAGCGAGGGGGGGGGGCTGGCCCAGAAAGCAGCGCGTCGTGAAAAGAAGGTTCGGAGGCAACTCCTGGGAGGTCAAATTCTGTTTTCGCCCTTGTCCGAAGTCCGGCTTAATCTAGCGCAATCCCGCTTAATCTGGCTAACTCCCGCTTGCAATGCTGCTTAATCCGGCTTAATCCTGCTTGGTCCGAGGCCCACTTCGGTGTAACAGCTCCCAAATGGGGCTTAATCTTGTATAATCTTTCCGACGAGAACCTCCCAGAAGTTGCCTCCTAAAGAAAGGACGGGAGGTGTTTGGTCAATTCCGGCCTCGGGGAACCCTCGCCGCGCGTCGGGACCGTCATAAAACGACTCGGGATGAAAAATCGGTCCCTGGGAACGGGTCGGGACTTGCAGGGTCCCCTCCTCCTCCTCCTCCTCCTCCTCCTCCTCCTCCTCCTCCTCCTCCTCCTCCTCCTCCTCCTCCTCCTCCTCTTCCTCCCTATCTACAAACCCCCGATGGACATGGTCGCGTCGTAGAACAATCAGGACGGGAGGGTTTTGGCCCATTTCGGCCTCGAGGAGCCCTCGCCGGGCCTCGGGGCTTAAAAAACGACCCAGGAGGAAAAGCCGGGCCCAGGGAAAGCGCCGGGACTTCCACGGACCCCGTACTGAAAAAGCCAGGACGTCGCATCTCTGGGCATGGAAGGCTTCCGATGTCGTGTATTGATTCGCAGCGTGGCCCCCGAGAGCTCTGGACCCCCTCCCGGGGACCAGCCGGAGAGGGCCCCGGGAGGCCGAACGTGACCGAAAGCCTCCGGTCGCGTGTTTTTCCACGACGCGAGGGTGCCAGGGCACCGTGGGCAAGGAGCACTCTTGGCAGCCCCCCAGCCATCGCGGTGGACGGCTGGATCCGGTTCTCAAGGCCTCCCACATGGGGTCGGAGCGGATGGGGTCCCAGGATCGCGCCGCATCGCTGATGCATCACCGATGCGGCTTGATGTGCCGCCCCAAGTTCTCCACGCCGACGTCGCCGATGCATCGCCGACGCCGGCGGTGCATCGGCGATGCATCGGCGATTGCATCGGCGACCCAGACCCCCGTCATGATTTTTCGTTACGTCGACCCCTGGAGGTCTCGACCCATTCCCCTGGACCGGTTTTTCATCCTGAGTCGTTTTTTCACGGTCCCGAGAGCCTGTAAGGGCCCCCAGGGGCCGAACATAGAGAAAAGCCTCCCATCATGTTTTTTTTCATTACCCGAGGGGGTCTGGGCATGCGGCGCGGTCTTCCGACCCCATCTGGCCGGACCCCATAAGTAGGAGGTCTCTAGGTTCAGCGGGGGCAGCACCACCGTCGCGGCGATGCTGGAGCGCCTTCGGCGCGAGATCGACAGCCTGCTGCTCGAGAAGGTCGAGGGGCCCACCCTCCTCCTCCTCCTCCTCCTCCTCCTCCTCCTCCACCTCCTCATCCTCCTCCTCCAGCTCTCCTCCTCCTCCTCCTCCTCCTCCTCCTCACCCCTCCTCCAGCTCTCCTCCTCCTCCTCCTCCGCCTCCTCCTCCTCCTCCTCCTCCTCCTCCGCCCCCTCCTCCTCCTCCTCCTCCTCCTCCCTCTCCTCTTCCTCCTCCTCCTCCTCCTTCTCCATCTCCTCCTCCTCCTCCTCCCCGCCTCCTCACCCCTCCTCCAGCTCTCCTCCTCCTCCTCCTCCTCCTCCTCCTCCTCCTCCTCCTCCTCCTCCTCCTCCTCCTCCCCCCCTCCGCCCTTGAAGGTCGAGGAGCCCGGCCGGCAGATCGGCGAGAGCCCCGTGGCACGCTGCGTCGTCAGCCTGCTGCGCACGGACGGGCTGGGCTGAGCCTCGGCTCGGAGCCAGGGGGGCGCAGACAGGAGGGGAAACACACACACAAACATACACACAACACACACAACACACACAGCACAGCACACACACACACACACACACACACGCAACACACCACACACGCACGCACGCACGCACGCACGCACGCACGCACAACGCCCCCCCCCCCCCCCCCACACACACACACACACACACACACAGACAGACACAGACAGACAGACAGACAGACAGACAGACAGACAGACAGACAGACAGACAGACAGACAGACAGACAGACAGACAGACAGACAGACAGACAGACAGACAGACAGACAGACAGACAGACAGACAGACAGACAGACAGACAGACAGACAGACAGACAGACAGACAGACAGACAGACACACACACACACACACGCACACACACACGCACACACACGCGCGCGCACACACACGTACACACAACACACAGCACACACAACACACAACACGCACACCCACACGCACACGACACAACACACACACACACAACTCACACAGAGACAACATGGATTATCGACCCTCATAAAAAGATGGGGACATAATTATGGGAAGTGTGAGGGACGACGGAACCCAAGGAACTAAGGGAACATATGAAACAATCCTGGGGTTTGGGTTTAGTTATTTGTGTGTCCGAGGGCCCCTTCACACAGACCAGATGGGTGAGCGGCCCTGAGATCCAGGATTCCAGTGTTGCTGTCGCAGCCGACGTTTTTCTGGGACCCGCGCCGGGGGTCCCCCTGGCGGCGCCTCGAGCGCCGCCCCTTATCGCGCTCCGCGCGCCGGGGAGGCGGGGCCAGCGCGTACAGTGAGCGGCTTGAATAAGGAACGCTTACTGTTCAAAAGGGGCTCGGTCGTTCCTTAGGTTCGCATGCGTTATTTACAGTTCCTGATGCGTTATTTGTTAGTATCGTTCCTTATGTGTTATTGAATCGCTTCGCTCATTCCGCCGGCCCGTGATATGGCATCGCTGGTTTTTGTCTGTGTGTTCGTTGCCCATGTTGCGCTCTTGGGGGCGGGTGTCGTTCGGACGCGTTGCGTGGGGAGTTTTGATGGTGAAGCAGTTCCCTGGGGGTCGTCTCTCGATGGGGCGAAATAGAGTCGTCGTCAAGATGCTTCTTTGGGGGGCCTCTTGGGGTCTGTTGAGAGGCCGTTCGGGGGCGCCTGGGAGACATGTTTGAAGCCTTCTGGGGCTTCTTTTGGGCCTCCTGGGAGTCTCCTGGGGCCTCTTGGCGACATCTTGGGGCCTCTTGGAGGCCTCTTGGGGCCTCTTTGGGACCTCCTGGGCGCCTTCTGGGACGGAGGGCTCCATTTTTGAGTTCTCGGTATCCCTCCTGAGTCCCTCTTGGGCCCGTCTTGGGGCCTCTTGGTCCGTCTTGGGCGGCACTTGGGCCGTCTTGAGGGCTCTCTTGGGTCGTTTCGGCGCCGTCTTGGGAGCTTCGTGGGCCGTCTTGGAGCGGTCTTGGGGGCCTCTTGGGCCGTCTTGGAGCGTCCGGAAGCCGAAAAAGCCAGAACACAAAAAACATCGAAAAAACCAATGAAAATCAACGATTTTGGCCTCTTGGGGCTCTCTTCGGAGGCCTCTTGGAAGGCTCTTGGGGCGTCTTGGAGGCCTCTTGGGCTGTCTTGGGGGCCTTTTGGGCCGTCTTGGGGTCATCTTCGGCGTCTTCGAGCGCTCTTTGGGCGTCTCGGGGGCCTCTTGGGCAGTCTTGGGGGCCTCTTGGGGCACTCTGAGCGCGCTCTGGGGAGCCTGAGAGGCCGCACCCAGAAGGAAAACCATCTCTGAGTAGACTTGGTCGGGCGGCGGTCGGGCGGTGGTCGGGGTACTTTTCGCCGGGGGACCCCCAGGGGCCGCCCCGCGCGCGCGAACTAGAAATACTGTTAATACTGTTAACCAGTTACCGGAGATCTTAGCACGCCCTGGCCCGTTGGGCCGGCGAATTCCTTGGGATAAAAAAAGGGGCTTCGTTCCTTATTCATCGTTCCTTAGGTCAGGCCGATGACTGTATCCAAGAAATCCGCGCGGAGCGCCAAAAGTTTATGCCTATGGCGTTTTTGTTCTTCTTCTACATCCCTCTCGGAGATTGAACGCAAGTTTTAGCCGCGACCTGGCGGCGCCCCCCCGACCCCCAATTTCAATGTTCACGCCGACGCCGGCGACTTCGAGATCTTCTTCGGACCCCGCCGGCCGCGACGCGCCTGTCGATGAACATTCAAATTTGTGGGCGACGGGGGCGGCAAAGCATTGTAATTTTGTTGTTGCAGCTGGCGTTTTCGCCAGCTTCTGGGCCCCAGGACCATCCCAGATCCAGTTGGCTCAACAAATGCTACAGGGAGGTGGGAACTGGGGACCCTGTCGTGACTCATTCGCGACGCTGTATCTTTGTTCGCGACGTCGGATCTCAGGGAGTACCGAAGCCGCTGCTTCTCACGCGTCACCAGAATGCGCACCCCCGGAGCGGTCCAGGGAGCATCGGTGTATCGCTACCAGAGCGACAGGACAACGGGTCCCACTGCGCGGACATTCGCGCGCGAGCTTCCCGCGCGAGGTCGCGCGTAAGCTCCCTCGTTTCCACTGAGGCGCGCCTCGCCAGCCACCCGCGTAAGCCACCGCGTAAGGTCGCCATGGCACCTCGCGTCAGACCAACTTTTGCTTCGTCGCTCACCTCTGTGATCCCCAGAATTTCGTTGCATCTTCGGGGGGCTGATCCTGTCCCCCAAATTGGTGTCGTTCCTTGTGCTCAGCGCGGGCTCGATGCGGACTCAACGCGGATGGGGCGTAGATTCGACGCGGATTCGGCGCGGATTCGACACGGATCCGACGAGTCCGACATGTATTCGACACGGATTCGACGCGGATAAGGCCGCGACGGGACATACAAGTTCGGTAGCAAATCATGGGAACCTTGTACACCCTATTTTTCCGTCTTTATCGTCGGTTAGCGGCGATCAGCATCTGGAGGCGATGCGATAGTGCTGATTTCGCGTCGGCTGGCTGGCGCCGATTAGCGTCGATTTTGCGTCGATGAGCCTAGACTAACGTCGACGAGCGTCGATTCGCAGGAGCTGACCAGATGGTATGGGAGGCTTCCGTGAGCTGCCACCGAACGTCTCTGTGTTCCTGGAAAGGGAGACGCCGACGTGCCGCCGCTTCCTCGGGCCTCTCCAGGCACGCACCTCGAGCAGGATTCCAAGGCGAATCCGGCCGGCTGCATGCTTCTTTCAAGGACATCGGCCCGGCAACGGATGCCCCACGGAAATGTCCGATCCCTTCATGGCCCCCAGGGACCTGCCGAGGCTTTGGCGTACCCCAGGACCTTTAAAAGACCGACGAAGAGTGCGCCTCAAGACTTCTTTTGATGTGGGGGCGGTGGACCAAGAATGTGTCAAGGATGCCTCCAGACCCCAGGGGATTCCTCATCGGATGAGGGCGGCAGCGCTCTCCGTGGCCGATGCACGATTGGAGTTCCGCCAGCGTCCCGACCCCGGAGCCCTTGTCCAATGGTCTCTTATCAAGTGCCATCACTGGACCCCCTTTCTCAGGACATGACAAGGCATTCACGCCTCTACCCTTCGCCCGTTCTCCTTGTTCTCGGCCTCGTGGGAGGCATTCGCCGCCGCCGCTGGATTCGCTCCGCAATCGTGGCCAGGGCGCACCCCGAGAGAGGCCCGGGGAGCAGCGGTATCGGTGCCTTTTGGTTTCCCGACCTTCGTCAGCAAATCTTGGGAGCTTCGCGCGCCCTCGCAATTCCGCCTCTAGAATACGCTAGCGTGCGCTGGTGTCGATTCAGCGTCGATGCACCGATGGGCATCGATTCAGCGTCGATGCAGCGTCGCTAGCGTCGCTGGCGTCTGGCGATCGAGGAGCACGCGCCGATCCAGCGTCGCTGAGCGTCGCGATTCGCGTCCAATGCCCTCACTATGCCAGGCATCCTGATTTTTTCGGCACGGGGCCCTGGAAGTCCCGACCCTCGGGACCGTTTTTTTTCGCTCCGAGTCGTTCTCTGACGCGCCCGAGGCCCCGCGAGGCCCCCCCGAGGCCGAAATTGGCCAACAGCCTCCCGTCCTGATTGTTCTACGACGCGACCTTGTCCATGGGGGGTTGGTAGGGAGGAGGAGGAGGAGGAGGAGGAGGAGGAGGAGGAGGAGGAGGAGAGCTGGAGGAGGAGGAGAGCTGGAGGAGGAGGAGGAGGAGGAGGAGGAGGAGGAGGAGGAGGAGGAGAGCTGGAGGCTCGAGGAGGAGCTCGTGTCGCCCGTGCCTGCTGTGGCGCGCGCCCGAGCCTCCTCCCCCCCCTTCGGAGGAGCGGCCCTCGCCAAGGACGTCTTCGTGCCCGCGCGAACCCCGGTGCAGGAGAAGCCCGCGGCGGCCCGGGCTCTCTCGGCCCCCCAGGGCCAGCGCCGGGGGGGGAGAAGGATAGGGCGTGAAAGTCGGGCACGTCCCTCTACAGGATGAGTATTCAAGGAAAGCGCGCCACTGGATCACCCTGTAGTTGAAAACGGGGGGGGGGTCCGACCCCCCCCCTTTCAAAGGGGGGTGAGATTTTCGACCCCCCCCCCAAAGGAGGAGGAGGTCGCGGGGGGCAAGGCGGCAAAGGCCGAGGAGGAAGAGGAACATGAGGAGGAGAGGGGGGAAGCGGAGGAGGCGGAGGAGGAGGAGGGGGCGGAAGAGGAAGAGGATGAGACATACAACGGGTCGGACTAGCGGGGGAACAGGATGAGGAGTAGGAGGAAAAGGAGGAGGAGGAGGAGGAGGAGGAGGAGGAGGAGGAGGAGGAGGAGGAGGGGGGGGGGGACGGAGAGAGCGTAGGGGTGCCTCCGCCAGACGGAGAAGAAAAAGGCGACGGGCAAGCTAAATCAAATCATTTCTCGTGTGGGATCCTACCGTCGGCGTAATTAGGATGTCGTCCAAGATCCGCCTGAAGGAGGACACGCCCGACCTAAATTTATGCCGGGCGGTGGTGACCTCCGTGCCCAATCCACGATGGGAGTTCCACCGTCTTCCAGACCTTGAATCCTTTATCCAACGGTTCCTTCTCCAATGTCTTCATGTCCCATTCCCAGGAGAAACCAATTATGCTAACGGAGTTCCCCACATAAAGAGATTAACGGTTTCGTGGGACCCATTTTCTTGATGCCCTCCTCGCTTTGGCGGGGCCCCGCTGGAAGGGGGGAGGGCTACGAAACCTGGCGAAGAGTAATGCTTTCCGCGACCCTCCTCGTTCAAGCGCGGCCTCTCTGGAGGAGTGGAGGGGGGACACGAAACCGTGTAAACAGCATGTTTTCCGATACCCTCCAGGAAGAGGAGGAGGAGGAGGAGAGGAGATGAGATGAGGAGGAGGAGGAGGAGGAGGAGGAGGAGGAAGAGGATAAGATGGATGATGGCGAAGAGCAGCAGCAGGAACCGCAGCAGGAGCAGCAGCGGGAGGTTGGTTTGAGTGGTCTCATTTTCCTCGTGAGGTCCGATTCGCTCCGTACGAAACCATGTAAATAGTATGGTTTTCGGATACCCTCCTCGCTCAGGCGGGGCCTCCCTGGAGGGGTGGGAGGGGCACGAAACCATGTAAATAGTATGGTTTTCGGATACCCTCCTCGCTCAGGCGGGGCCTCCCTGCAGGGGTGGGAGGGGCACGAAACCATGTAAATAGTATGGTTTTCGGATACCCTCCTCGCTCAGGCGGGGCCTCCCTGGAGAGGTGGGAGGGGCACGAAACCATGTAAATAGTATGGTTTTCGGATACCCTCCTCGCTCAGGCGGGGCCTCCCTGAGGGGTGGGAAGGGCACGAAACCATGTAAATAGTATGGTTTCCGATACCCTCCTCGCTCAGGCGGGGCCTCCCTGGAGGGGTGGGAGGGGCACGAAACCATGTAAATAGTATGGTATTCCGATACCCTCCTCGCTCAGGCGGGGCCTCCCTGGAGGGGTGGGAGGGGCACGAAACCATGTAAATAGTATGGTATTCCGATACCCTCCTCGCTCAGGCGGGGCCTCCCTGGAGGGGTGGGAGGGGCACGAAACCATGTAAATAGTATGGTATTCCGATACCCTCCTCGCTCAGGCGGGGCCTCCCTGGAGGGGTGGGAGGGGCACGAAACCATGTAAATAGTATGGTTTTCGGATACCCTCCTCGCTCAGGCGGGGCCTCCCTGGAGGGGTGGGAGGGGCACGAAACCATGTAAATAGTATGGTTTTCCGATACCCTCCTCGCTCAGGCGGGGCCTCCCTGGAGGGGTGGGAGGGGCACGAAACCATGTAAATAGTATGGTTTTCCGATACCCTCCTCGCTCAGGCGGGGCCTCCCTGGAGGGGTGGGAGGGGCACGAAACCGTACGGTATGGTATGATATGGTATGGTATGGTACTGGAGGTATGGTATGGTATGGTACGGTGTGGCATTGGTGTGATATGGTATGGTATGCTATGGTACGCCATGGTATGGTATGGTACGGTATGGTACGTATGGTGTGGTATGGTATGGTATGGTATGGTATGGTATGTGTGGTAGGAACTATGGTATGGTATGGTGTGTGTGTGGTAAGAATAAAATTGTGCTGTATGGAAGATGGAGCGGGAGGTGGGTGGGAAGGAGACGGTGTTTTGGGAAAACAAAAACCCGACTCAGGATGTGGGGAATTACGTATACCCAAATCACTGCCGATCTCCATGAACATCTGGCAACACATGGGATATGGAACATGGCAACAACTCTGAGATAATGGAATCGCATAGGGAACTCTGGAAGCTGTGCCTATCTCTGAAGATTCCTTCTGTTCCGTCCGACTGAAGACGTCTCCCGGGCCCCTTCCCTTCCGTCCAATGAAAGACGAAGTTTCTGGTATGATAGGAATCAGCAGGGACTTTACAGAGTCCGCGCCTATCTCTGAGTGCATCCATGGGCCCCTCTCCTTTCTGTCCGACTGAAGACGAAGTCTTTGAATTACAACCCCCTGGATTAAAAAGTGGAGACCGCAGGGGCCGAGGTAGACGTGGTTTGCCTCCCGTTAGGCAGCGGGGCCCCGGGACAATGTTGGATTTGTTGCCAATTCCGGAGTTTCCGGTGCCTCCATCATCCCTTTTTAATATTATAAAGGCCAAATGGGGCTCCGACCGGAAAGTGGGATTCTGCCTAGGACTTCCTCAAAAAAAGTTTCCGGTCGCCTTCCAGGGCGACCGGAAATTCTGCCATGCCACCGGAAAGTGGCGATTCCGCGTGGGACTTCCTCAAAAAAATATTCCGGTCCCTTTTGAGGCCGCCAGACAGTGGCGATTTCGCGTGGGACTTCCTCACACATTACTTTTTGTCGCATCTCATGCCACCAGAAAACGACGATTTCGCTTGAGACTTCCTGACATTCGAGTTTCTGGTCTCATGTACGCTCACACAGACGCCGCGGACCTATTCCTCTTCCCACTCTCTCCTCTTATCATCACAGTATTGGATTGTTCCGTGTCGCATGCTCTCCGTGCAAGTCAGATTCCAGTTGCCACAGCCTCGCGCGCGCGGTCCTATCTGCGCCTGGGCGGATGTCCGCAGGGATGGCCGTTGCATCGTTCGGTTCACAGGTTTGTCTTGGAGTCATCTTGAGGCCATCTTGAGGTCGCGTCGGGTCGCAGGCCCCCCTGTGGGAGGTTCGATCCCAGGGTCATTTTGGGGCGACGCGGTTGACCCAGGATGTACGGTCCAGAATCGACGATCCAGGATCGATGATCGAGGATACACGATCGATGACCCAGGACCGACTGTGGAAGAGCGAACCCATATCGATCGGAAACGAGGCTTTGGGTTCCACGGCCGATCAAAGTTCGACAACCACCTAGCGATTGAGGGTCGGAGATCGAGGGTCGAGGATCCAGGGCCGTTCGGACATCGAGGAGCCAGGATCGAGCGGCCACGATCCGTCGAAGTTCGACGCTGGATGGTTGAGGGTCGGAGATCGAGGGTCGAGGATCCAGGGCCGTTCGGACATCGAGGAGCCAGGATCGAGCGGCCACGATCCGTCGAAGTTCGACGCTGGATGGCCGATCGAAGAGCGACGATCGAGAACCGATGTTCCAGGCTTGATCGAAACTCCAGGCTCCAGAATGCCTGGCCGATCGAACATCCATGATCGAGGTTCGATCGAGGCTCGAGGATCGAGGATCGAGGGCCCCAGATACTTCGAGGGTCGAGGATAGAGGTCCGGTCGAACAGCGACCATCGACTTCCCAGGATCCAGTCCCGATCGAAAGTCGCGGCTCGAAAGCCGAACGACGGGCGAATACCAGGATGCGGTTCTTTCGGTGTAGCTCCGATCTCAATTTTTTAATCCAGGGGGTGGTATGGAAGAAGAATGGGGATCTTGGAATATGTGCCAGCGTTCGGACCGATGTACAAGGTTCAAGTCGTTGTGGGGGGGGGGACCCTGATATACTTCGTGCTTGTCGAATGCTCTTGTGCGTCCTGGGGGAAGGCACCTTCGGATGCGTTTTTCAGTCCGGGCCAACGGAGGGCCTCATGCGTTTTTGACGGATGTTCCTCAGCCGTAGGTCCGACCGTATTCTGAGTGCCTCCCGGGGCCCCTCGACGACGACCTCCCTCCTCCTCCTCCTCCTCCTCCTCCTCCTCCTCCTCCTCCTCCTCCTCCTCCTCCTCCTCCTCCTCCTCCTCCCCTCGGCCGTGCAGGAGCCCGCCCGGGCGCGCGGCCCGAGCGCTCGGCCCCCCGCCCCCGGCGCCGCGGTGCGCCTCCGTGCCTCGGCGCACCCCGCCCGGCCCCGCCGGCCCGCGCGCACGGCGACGGCGCTCGCGGGGCGCTCGGCGCCCGCGCGGAGGGCCGCCACGCGAGGCGCTCCGGAAAGGGCCTCTCGCCTTGGAGGGCCGAAGGAGTTGCCACATGGCCACAGGAGGCGTTGCAGAAAGGGCCTCGCCTTGGAGGGCCGAGGGAGGTGCCACCTCTGCGGTTGCCTCTCGTTCGTTCGTCGCCCGCCGCTGGGGTGGTCGCCGCCTCTGTGGTGGTCGTCGTCGCCGACGCCGTCGCCGTTTTGGCCCCGCCGCCGCCGCCGCCGACGTCGTCGACTCTGCGCCGCGTGCCGCCTCCAGGGGGGCGCGGCGACTGGCGCGCGGCGCGCGCAGGCCTCCGAGGCGCCTGCGCCTCGACGCTGCGGCACATCTGCATGGAGAGCGAGGCCCGCGGGCGGCGATCGCGGCGGCGGCGACGGCGACGCCCACGACGCCCCACAGCGGCGACGTCCGCGACGATGGCGCCCACGGCGGCGACTGCGACGGCGACGGCGACGACGGCGACGGCGACGTCCACGAGGACGACGTCTGCGGAGATGGCGGCGGCCGGCGGCGGTGGCGGCTGCGGCGGCGGAGG